CACCGCTCGTCGGTGAGTCTAAATAAGCGCTTGCCGCGGACAGGTGAGCGGCGCAGGCTATGGCGGCAGGGTCACCCAGCGGTGGTAAAGCCGCTGCGGCGTGTGCAGCCGGAAACTTTGCCTAGCTACTGCAGACCGACCATGCAGCCTCCTAGCGCTGCTATACTTGTTAAGCCCTAGTTGCAGCGCTGCTCTGCTATCCTCCCGCATGGCTGCCTTTCAATATGTAACCCTGAAGGTTATCATTTTTTGACTCTAGGATTGGTGTGCAGTTGTTTTGGGGTTTTCTTCCAGTAAGTTGACCTGTGTCTATTTCGGCAGGACACTGCACTGACAGGCTTGGTTCTCTGGCTTCTTGCAGATTTTTTTTTTTTCTAAATGGTCTGCTGGCTCTGTCCACTCAGCATCACACGTACTGCCCATCCCATCCTGAGAGACTGGTAAAGCGGCAGCCTGTCCTAACTTGTGTCTCACGGATACTTTGAACTGTCATCAATCTTTGTCTTCATGTTGTCGCTATGTTCTACAGATCCGGATACCAGTGGAGGCTGCTGCGCAGCGTGTACTAAATCTCACTGAGGTTGTCAGGAATTCAGTCCTAGTGTCGCTGTTTAATCCTCCTTCCATTATCGGCCGCTCGTTGAGGTGGCCATGGTGTGTATCTTTATCCAGATTAGTGAACAGAGCTGATGCAACCACTATTTAGTAGAGCAGAAGGTCATGCTAATGACCAATAATAAGCACAAAGCATCGTTTTACTAGATGGACTGCACGACGGATGACTGAGTAACCCGACAGTATCATTGATCAGTCAATAGAATGAATAAACTTAATACTCGTATCCTACCCTAGATGTGGCCCCTCCAGTCATTAATGCAGATGTTTGTTCTTGTTCCTACGTGTGCTGTTTGAATGCCTGTATGTGCCAAGGTTTGACCACTAGACAGGACTGTTTTCACATTCATACTGCGCTGAAAGTGGAAATTTTCTCTGTGCTCGTTGAAAATCAGATTTTAAGTAGGGCTCTACAATTAATCAGACTTACTGAAATTGCTGCAATAAAGGTAAAATGTGGCAAACAGCAATATATTGAAGTACTGTAGTGCTGCAGAGATGCACTAGCTAACAAATCTTGCTCTCCAAACATGTTTGCCTGGTACAGACCCCAAGAAATTTCACAGCATGATTTTAATCTGAGTTTGGAAGTCAGTCCTGGTCCAGTATCAACTGGTATGGTGTGATGTAGGAACTTGAACAACGTTTACATATTCATAGATGATGGAATTTTGAATGAGGTAGAAGGAGTAGATGACTTCTTAAGGCTTTAATGTTTAAAGTTTATATATATATTTTTTTTTCCCCTAGAAAAACATATCAGACACATTGTTGTTTCAAGCTGACTTTTTGTATGTACTGTGTTTATCAGGGTTCCCACATGTCATGGAAAACCTGGTGAATCTGGAAATGGAGACGAGTAGACACCTGAATAAACTGACCAAATATCCTAAATAATCACTGTTGTCCTGAAACATTGTTATTGTATTTCAGCCCCTAAAAATATAGATTGCCTACTTCAACCTTGTTGCACATTTATTTTGAAACTCAGTCAGTTGCTGCGGGTTATGACACTTCAAAGCGGGTTAACCAGGTGTGAAGCAGAATGTAAAAATGTTTAAACGCTCCTGTTTCCTTTTGGCCATGTCAGTCAATCTGGCTGTTCGCATCAGATGTGGAGCGGTCTTTTCAGCGCTGCAAGGAACCTTGGACGCTTAATCGTAAAGCACACTGATGCCGAGACACAATCTTAAACATTTAAACAGTCCTTTAAAGACAGTCTATCTTTCTTATTATATTTTATCTGGGTTTAGGGCTGCACAAGTAATTGAATATTAATCGTGATCACAGTTTTGGCTCACCACAATGAAATGAACATGATCGCCTACGATACTGACGTTTAGAATACGTCTTAAGCCTTAATACTTTCATTCTGGGGAAAATACTGTGTTAAGTTACTGCTAACTACACTGAGAGACCACCAACAGCTACTTTTTAAAGAGCATCTCTCTATCAAGCATTCTAAGGCTTTTTTCCAGTTTTTTGTTGGTAATGCAACACTCAATATGACGTCCCTCCATAGCGTGACTCTATAGTAAGAGACAAAGGACAAACGTGTTCTTGAGAATGACCTTGTTCAGCCTCTTTCTCCTCTGTCTTCCCAACTGTTTTTTTTAAAGGCCTTGAGGAGGTGAGTAATAATGATGGCGACGGCGGGGCCTCCGAGCAGCTCCGGCTTCCTCCCCCTGCTTGAGTCTCTGGAGGACAGCACTGCCGGACAGTCTGAGCAGACGGACGCCTACCTCACCATCGCCAAGTACGTTACTAGAGCTGGTCTTTGATACGTTGGAGGATGTGAGTATTGCCTAAAGTCAAAATAAGAGTAAGAAAATGTTTTTCTTTTTCCTTGCAGTCGACTCAGTGGAGAGGATGGCCGGCAGTTTCTCCCTGCAGTTGAAAAGCACTTTTCTCGTCTGGGTAAAGCCACCTTGGTGAGTCTTTTTTAAAGCAGGAGGAACCTCTAAATCTCCCTATTTTATATTAAAGCTCTTTCATCTATGGTGCCTATTCTGCTCTTGTCTCATGTCGTTTCCAGGCTCACATAACCAGTCCGAATGCAGAGCTGAGCCAAGCTGCCCTGCAAGCTTTAGGGTTTTGTGTCTACCATTCCCACGTCGTCTCTGCAGTGCCTGGTACATTAATTTCCATATTTTGTGCCTCATCATTTCAGACTGTGACTGCTGCTGAGGATGATTCTCTTCTGTTTTTCCAGAAACCTTCGCAGCAGAAATACTATCAGCACTTTGCTCCCTGGTGGTGAAGTCGACAGATAAGAACACATGCACCAGAGCATTATGGGTCATCTCCAAACAGAGCTTCCCTCCAGATGTGGTTAGCAAAAAAGTAAGAATCAGCAGACATTTAAATACAGGCTAAAATTACAACCGAAAACGTGGCTGTGCGTGTTTTATAATGCGCGAAATGTGTCACTGCCGGTGTTTGATCCATGTTACTTCACTCACTCAGGTGTCGTCTGTACTGGGAACGCTGGAGTGTGTGTGGAGTAGAGAGGACATCCAGTCTGTGGTAATGGAGCATGAGGCCTTGAATGTTGTCATCAGGTAAAAGATAGAGACATTTATATTTGAAAACAGGACATGAATCCAAGCCTCATTGGATGATGGTTACAGGTCTCCATTGTTATGAGTGGTTGACTGATGAATGTGCAAAATGATACAGATCTGACATACTGTGTCAGTTTGCTGTTGACATATATTTTTTGGCAATAATTGTTTTTATACATAGCAATATTAAAGGATCATTGTGCCTTTTTTTTTTTTTTTTTTGACAATGCCATCACATATGACATTAAATATTTCACACCTTGACACCAATCGTTATTAATAATTTGACTGGTCTCTATAAAATGCTGATCATATGACACTTATTTTATTCTAATTTATATTCAGTCTTTCCCACATAGATTTACGTGGGTGGGCCGTCAATACTGGCTGGCAACTAAGTAGTGATGGCAAATTTTAATTGTCAATGTGGAGGTGATTTTATTGAGAAGTATTTAGTCATCCTGTAATAGGTGTGTCATGGTATTGAGTCTTGTTAAAAGTTTAGGTCATCATGTGGTTCATGTGTTTAGTTTAAGTCATGATCCAGACTGGTTGGACAGCACTAGCTTTCTCCCTGAATGATAGTGTTTTGTTTAATAGAAGTGTACTGATTATTTGTGAGTGATGATAGTCTTTATTTTTACCAAGGCCAGCTGGTGACCCTGTGTTAGCACCATTGACCAATCTATAGCTCTGTTTCTACCAAACACTCTGTATATTACCCTTGAAACTCATACCTAAACCCTAGATCTGTTTTGGGTTTGCACTTCTGACAGTACTCTTCAGTGTAGGCGGGGTTGTCGGTGGCCATACAGGCTCACCCCTTTCACTTTTCCAGCGGGTGGGAAAGAACAGGGACCTTTTTCTTGAGATCTGCAGAATTTATTAACGGACACAGTGTAACCTACACTTTACATTTACTGCCAGATTGGCAACTTAATGCTAGGCTTTCTTTCTGCTCCGCTCCTGTTCATGGTCACTTTTCTGCCTCCCTTTATCTCGGCCCTTGCTCCTCACACATGGTATGTGGTTGTTTATCAGCCTACCACAAGGACGCAAGCTTTGTTTGAGAAAAGACTGCAGGCAGTGAGACAAAACACTGCAGACAATGAGGCAGCTCTGTGGTCTGAAGGGTTTCTAGCTCCACCTCAGTGTGCTTCCTGGTTCAGTGTGCTTCCTGGTTCAGTGTGCTGGGTAGATTGATTCCATTGCTACCATCCACAACTTTTGATAATGAAAATGCATAAATAACCGTTTTAAGGTGTACTGAGACCCAACTGAACTGAACTGGACTGCATGGCGAAAGTGGAGGAAAAATAAATTTCCAGCTGGCTGCAACTAACAATTTTCATCATTGATTGCTTTTGGATCATTTTCTTGAGGAATTAATTGGTCCAGAAGATGACATTTTTCATCTTGAATGACTCAAAACGATTAATCGCTTATCAAAATAGTTTTAATTTAGTAGTTGACAAGAATCCATTAATGGACCACTCGTTGCAGCTCTGGTTGTCTCTCCCCCCTAATTCCATGCTCAAGTCAGTGCATGCTGAGAAGCATTTGGTCATTCACACTGTGGCACTGACTGATGTGTAATTACAGGCTTATATTTAGTTGAGATAGAACCTTCTGTTTTTAGTTTATATAGTTTAACACAGTGGGCCTGACTAGTTTTATCTGTGGTATTATAACCACTGTACCTGTGTATATTGTGATGTCCATGCTGAAACAGCCTGTAATTTATCATTCTAGTGTATGGCTTATGATTATAAGAGCATTATTTCCTGGTATTTGTAGGCTGCTGGAGCAAGCGCCGGTCCAGATGGGTGACGGAGCAGTACGGTGGGCGAAGCTCGTCATCCCACTGGTGGTCCACTCGGCTTCCAAGGTGCGCCTGCGGGCCGCAGCAGCCATGGAGATGGGCATGCCTCTTCTCCTGGAAAAACAGACGGAGGTGGCTGCAGTCATCGAACCGATGATGTCCTCAGTGAGTATCTGTGTGTCCGAGTGCATCTCCAGAGCGGTGCTTCAGTAGTTCTGAGGGTTTTCTTGGTTTGTTGGTTCATACATGACCTTGTGGGTTGTATGCTAACATTCACCACCAATATTTACACAACAGCACATCTTGGATAGTTAAATATTTGATATTCATCAGGATATTTGACTATTTAAGATGCTTGAATCACATGCAGCATTTATTACCAGCCCTCCTCGTGTTGAACGCCTGCCTTGATGAAGAGGAGTTAAGCGGTGTCAGTAACTCTGCTGATGTGCTTCTGTTTGTCTTCACAGAAACTGGTTCCAGAGCTCCAGAAGCTTTTCATGTCTAAGAATGAAACCAATGTCCTAAAGCTGTGGCCCTTATTTGTGAAACTGCTCGGGAAGGTAAAGTCTAAATGCATATCTGTGTGTTCTGTCTCGGCAATATCAGTAGATGAATGTCTGACTGAACAAATAGACCTTTTTTCTAACAAAGAAATTGGCATTTGTAGGGATGCAGAAAAGCATCGGAACCATAATTGACCCGATTTTTTAAAAAAAGAGAAAAGAAAAAAAAAAAAAAAAAATTCCTGAAGTCCAGACTCACTGAGAGGATTCACAAGCAAAATGTGTTCAAATGATTACTCAGCAAAATAGTTTGATTAACTTTGTGTCTATCCATTAATCAATAGATCAATTTAAGGTTTCAGTGCTAGCTGAGAGCAAATTCTTACTCCTTCTGATATGCAGAGCAGTGTTGCTCAAGACAGGGTGTCCATGGGACTGAAATCTAGTAATTGAAATTTTTATTTATGAATATTTTAGATTTGAATACATTCAGAGTCTGTATTTGCAAATGACATCATCTTTAGCAGGTCACATGAGACTGATGTGAATGTATTTCCTACATAGTTGCTGCACAGAGGAGGTCCCTTCATCAACTCTCTGCTGCATCTGGAGGAGCTTGGGTTCCGCAGCTCCTCTCCGACCATCAAGAAGATTGCCTTCATTGCCTGGAAGAGCCTCATAGACAACTTCGCCCTCAATCCAGGTGAGACTCTCTGGTCTCAGCTTTTTTCCCCTCTGAATAATCCTGTTTTTCAGCTCTTAGATTTTGCTTTGCACTGTGATCATGGCTGAGTTTTGTTGAATTTCTTATGTCTCTCCTGAAGACATCCTGTGCAGTAGCAAACGTATGAAGCTCTTGATGCAGCCCCTTGCGTCCATCCATGTCAGGACAGAGGCCCTGCTGCTCACCAAGGTGGAGGTCTGGTGGTACCTGGTGGTCCAACTCGGGCCCAATCTGTCACCCAATTTTGATCAGGTAAGATCTCTCCCACCTCAGTCACCTTTTTCCAGACGGTTAACTGTTTGGCAGGGATTGTAGCTGTATACTGTCATGGCTCTTCTCAGTTCTCAGAAGCTAACTGTCACGTTCCGAGTGTCCATGGCTGTTTCATGCTCTCTCTTAAGTTGCATATTTAATCTGCTGCTGATGTGTTCTGACTCTGAATCTGTTGTAGTCTAGACTAACGTGCTGTTTTTAGGACAGTTCATAAAGTGAGCGGTGTTTTTGGGTGTGCTGTGTGTCAAGTTTGCCTTGGCCCACCCTGGTTATTGCTCATGGTTAACATTATGGGCTTGCACTCACATCCGCATATCCTGTATGACACACAAACACCTTTTTCATTCGTATGAGGTGTATGACTGTGATCCTGTGAGTTCTGGATAAATTCATGTGAGTTTGTGTGATGAATAATAGTAAAAGTTCAAGATTGGTCAAATTTAAAAAAAAATAAATAAAATAAAATAAAAAATGCATTGGATATAATTTGGCGTTTCGAACATCTTTGCATCATTTAAAAACTTATTTATTTATATAGAATTATTAGTAGAGACCCTATGCCTCTTATTATTTAGAATTTGACCATTTAGATCGATTGTTTCTTCCAAATCCCATTCCAAATGGAGAACAGTGATTCCAGTATGTTTTGGTGCCATTTTAAAAGTATGAAGTGTATTTTCATGATTATCCTGATAATGGTGTGTATCTTGACATGAATTTTCTGTGTCCTCCATGCCTATTTATGATGTTAAATTGGTTTTAAATTTAATGCATAAAACCCTTACTGACTGCAGGATGAGTGAACAGTATTTGTCTGTCTCCAGGTTTCTGTTCCTCTACTCCAGTGCACCATTGGATCCGACTCCTCCTCAGTCCCAGGCACCCCTTCTAGAGCTGTGGGTCAAAATGGTGCCGTTACACCAGGAACACCCAAGACGGGTGTGTTTATATATCCACCTCCCTCCACCCGGACCTGTCACTCTCCTACAGTATATGAGGCGCTAGACTACCATACATAAATACTGAATTTGCATCATTTCTCTCCTCTTGCAGCCACTCCAGGCTTCAACAGCCCAGCCAATACGTCTCGGATGAGCCTGAACTCCAGCGTCCACGTCCCCACCACCTTCCCCTCCATCCAGCTGCTGGGCCTCGAGATGTTGCTTCACTATTTTCTGGGACCAGAGGTTATTGCAGCGGCAGCAAAGAACAAACTCATCCTGAGTCTTGGTGAGTAAGAGCAACACATACCTACTTGTGTGTGACAGTGCAGCAGCCATTCATACATTTGCACTGACATGCTGTGCCAAAGTGTGATCTTAAACTTGTTGTGTATTTGAGCATTTAACTGCAGCTGCGAAGAAATACTGGGTTGTTATAGTACCTTGTGGAGTTTTTGACCACTAATGGCGCTGAAAAGAACTGCCAATAAACGGTGACAATTGTGGCCTCTTTCTATTGATTGGGAAAAATACCATGTTGGAACACCATGTCAGAAGAAAACAAATGGAAATTCAGCCTCCTCATTCTAGATTCAGATTGGTCAGCTGCACGTTGGGTAAAAACTGCAGTTTAATTGTAACATGTTTCCCATATGAGCAAAATATTTTTGTCTTTGCAGAGCCCTTGAACCACCCACTCCTGTCCGGTGCTTCCTCTTTCACTAAACATGCTGCCGTGCTCACCTCCAACATCAGAGATGGATTCCTTAACGTTGGCAAAGATGCTCCAGGTAAACGTCACAGCTTGAAGTGACTGAGTTGACAGAAATTTGCCACAGACTCTGAATGACATTTCCTTTCTCTAAAGGAGTCTAGGCTGTGTAGTTTCTGTCAGTTAAATGGCACACCCTCCCTACCACCTCCTGTCAGTCATTGTTGGACGCCTTGAGCTGTAACCCCAAACCTGCAGCTTGTGTGTGCGTGTAAACGTAGTTACGGTTCAATCTCTTGTGCTCCTCCTGCAGATTCTCTTGTGGCTGTCATTTGGACCAGTCTTGTCCGGTTTGTCAACTTAACCGTAGAGTCTGGTAAGTTCACCTGGATTAGCAATAAGTAAAGTGTTACATGTGATATAGAGGGCACTCTCCAAGAAATGCAAATGAATGTTACACGTGTAACATCTTTTTATCAGATACAAACCATCTTTACTATTCTGCTCTCCAGTCCACGCACTGAACATGCACAATTATATTCCGTCTTTGTGCGGCTAATCAGAGCTCTGAAGGTAGCTGTAGATCAGACTCATTAAAGTTTGCATGGTTTTTGAAAATGTGTTTGTCTTTAGAAAGTTGAAGCATAGAAAGCTACTTCCTGTTTATCGATGTCAATGTTTTAATTTGTTTTTGAGGCATGATTACTTGCAAATTCCATCTATTAAATAAATAATGAACAATATTCCCACTGCTTCATATGGTCTCAATAGATTGTCATTGTGGCTGCCTGACAGCATGGCGGGCTCCTAAAGTTGGGGTTCCCGCCTCATAGCGCCACATAGAGCACTCTGATTGGGTTTGGGCTTTTGTCTGTTGGGAGGAGGACCGTTGAGACCTAATCCTCCTCTCCGGCCCGGCTCACTCCCACTGTCATCAGTTTAAGTCGGAGCGTTCAGAGCCTCGCGGTCTGGACTGCTGTGAAGAGAAAAAAACACTGAGGGGTCTGTCCCCAATGATGACTCTCTTCTCTTAAACCAGACACATGTCCTGCTTTGAAGCAAAGCCTAAAATAATGTTGTACAGATGATTTGAGCTGACTCTTCTCCCTGACTGTCAGTAGGCAGTAAGAAGGATCGTCAGGGCTGTGAAGTACTGACGCTGATGCTTCAGGCTCTGCAGAGCATCGTCACCTCAGAGGCTCTGCCTGCAGACAAAGTCCTGGTAAGAGATCAAAAACCTTCTACTGTCATCTTTCATGTATCTCACTCACTGTAGGCACACAGAATGAATTCATTCATTCATTCATTCATTCATTCATTCATTCATTCATATGTTGCACCTAATTTAAATTACGGATGCCATAAATGAATGATTGGGCAAATAATTTCTATCATAAATGATTTTGTTTATTAAATTACGGCTGATAATTTGTTTATATGATGATGATAGTTTAGTTTTTTGATGAACTTATGCAGAAAGAATAAATGAACCCCTGAAGAGTCAGTTAGATTTCATTAGGTCAGAGCTATGAAATATGAAATCATCTTTGTTCACTACATCTTTGCTCTACTTGCCATCAGGTGGGTTAAAAACTGCAGGTTATGAACTTCTTAAAATACAGAGATAAGAAATGATCATCTATCTTATCTGTAACGGCCATGAGAAGCATGTAATTAGAGTTATAAATCCGTATATCTATTGAGTTTATTCTGTCTTGTGAAGGGCTCATGCAATATTGATCCAAGGCACACTGTAGGGTTCGTGCAGAATTAAAATGCCTTTATTTTACATGCAACAACAGTCAGTGCCAGCAGCAGCTCGCACACCAATTGTGTTTCACTACTCAGTTGAGTGGGAGGAAGGAGCTCTCAGTATGCAAGCCTATTGGTCAACAACAAGGAAGTGATGCATCATAATCAAAAGAAGGCAAGAAGATTAGAAGTTGTGTTGGTCAATTAAAATAAATGTATACATTTTTGCATCAATACAGTTAATGAAAATATCTTAGTAGAATTCATTTTAGTTTGACCTTTTTTGAACGTCTGATGCCAGTTTGTTCATTAGTTTACTGTTTCAGTGACTCAGCCTTCCTGATTGGCTACTCAACAGACAGACTGTGGTTTGGATATCTTTGAATTTTAATGTTTTAGTTTTTGTTGCTAAAATGGCTACAATCCTTTTAACTGAAATCTTTTACCTCAGATTCTGTTTGAGGCCACAGCGAAAGGTATTCCCCCGAGGGTTCTTGGCTCTGCCTCCTATCAAGTGGGCAAGATGGATGTGCTGAATGTGAGTGCTTCTCGGTCTACAGATTCACATTCAGTATTTATGGAATTTCTCATAAGGAGCATTGCTTAAACTGTGTCTCTCACTCCTCAGGGAACACCGGCTCTGTTCCTCATTCTCCTGCTCTACAACAGCAGCCTGCTCTCAGCCTACATAGAGGACGAGAGGTTGGTCTAATGTTCATTTATTTCCATGCAATGTCAGTTTAATCTGTGCTCACTGTAGTCTGCTTTGAGCCTACACCGACTAAAAAGGCAAACGGTGATCTTTTCTGCTTTCTGAAAAGACTACACACACTCTTGTCTCCATGAAACCTCCATGTGTTGGTTAATACTGCATCATCACTGCTACAGACCTGCAAAAGAGGAACACAAACTTTGGTCCAGTGATTGACAGCAAGTCATGTGACTGTTGAATACATATAAACACTACTGATTTTAGATGTGCAATAACGCATGACTGAAAACTTGGGTGTTCAAATATTTATCCACTATGCTACCTGGTCATTTGGTGTGAAGCACAAGTTGTTACTATGGTCACAGAGCTTGCAAGTGGAATCAAGTTTACCATGGTTACAAAAAAGAAAGTCCTTTTTGAGTGGCCTGCTAATGTGGAATAATAATAATAATTATTATT